TGATCACTTGTTTTGTTCAAATCTGTAAATGGGAACAAACTTCAATTAGTCTTGAATATGAAAGTGTTTTTTATGTAATATAATCACTGCCTGGAGAATCTATAACAATTTTCACTTGTTAGGATGAAAAAAGTAACGATTTTTCATCATATTACTATGCTTCGTTCAACACTAATCAAGTTTTAAATGAGTGACTGATCTGTGTAAAATTATCATATATAAGGAACGATTATATAATCAGTCTAGAATAAAACAAGATGAAATAGAGGCAAATTGAAATAAATTACCATCAAGACAGATAATTAACTGTGAAACGATTCGTTTTTCCATCTCACGATGTGTACTATCACGTTTTTGAGCGATAACATCAATCTCGTCAATCAACAATATGCACGGTGCTGATTCTTGCGCTTTCATGAATAACTCTCGCAACTTCGACTCTGACTCACCCGATATTCCAGATATTAATTCAGTCGATGCTATCTTTAGTAACGGTAGATTCAGTTCCTTAATTCAAATTCACTGTATGAACGATCAGTAGGTATACAATTCAATTAGAAATTCACTGTTGAATGTTGAAGAGTAATTCACTGATGAAAAAAGTACAAAAAAATGACCAGTTGATACTTAATTTGTTGGAATGATTGAAAAGTAGTTAAATATCAAGAACTGATCAGGAAAATATCAAACAATTACGAACTCCGGCAACAGCATGTGCAAATAACGTTTTCCCGCATCCAGGTGGACCGTGCAGAAGAAATCCTCTTGGTGGTTGCACGCCGAGTCTTTCATGAATCTCCGAATNCATCCAGGTGGACCGTGCAGAAGAAATCCTCTTGGTGGTTGCACGCCGAGTCTTTCATGAATCTCCGAATGTTTGAGATGCATCGAAAGACGACACACATCCTCAAATATCGCCATTATTATTTCTCACACTCCCCCTCATCAATTTAATGATATCCACGAACTTAATTCACTTGAATTCAAGCAAATTAAGCAACATTTTTCAAAATTAAAAGTAAGAGAACGCTGAAATCGTATTCACAAAACACAACGAACTTGATTGCCACTGAATAGTTAATAAATGAGAATTTAAATGTTCGGAAAAGGATCAGAGCAATTCTTCCAAATACATAAAATTAGAAATGGTCAATATCAAATAACTCACAAGGAATTGCGATTCACAACCTCCAATATCCGCAAATGTAACCGATGATTTTTGTGGTTCAATGTTCAATGACGACGTCTCACCGCCGCCAAACAATTTCGAATCAATTGTTGCTTTATGAATACTTTTGTGTTTCATACTTTTTTGCTGGAAATATTTATTCATTCATTCAACTTCGTCATTTGTAAAAATGACATTTCTCAAAGAATTCAATTGCAATAGTTCAACTGAGAATGACAACGTGAAAATCGTTCTGCCAATCACGAAAAGAAACTGAACGATTCCTTACGTAAAGACTAACTTTCTTGGTTGAAAAAGAGGATGTTTAGAATTTTTTGATTGAACTATCAGAAAGCGAATAACCAACCTTGGAAGTTTTTGACATTTTTTGCAGAGGTCTATCAGGTGTATCATCATTTTTGTTCGTTACGTACAGCTTCATCAATGTTTTGTTCGCCATGTTCGCGTCCTGCAATCGAATCATCACCATCAAAAGAGAGATACATCAATAATGCGATCTTATCAAATATCCGTTTCATTTGCATATCTATGCGAGAATACGAAAATTAAATAATAATAATAATCTGATCTCGCTTATTCTGTTAGCTTCACATCGAAGAGCATAATTTAAAAATATCACGGATTTGCCTTATCGAAGAAGATTTCAAAATTAATACTCAGCTTCATTCATTCCAAGTAGCAATAGCAAACAGAATCATCTGCTGAATCAATTAAAACCCCAAATAACTCATTAAAATCGAAAATTGGATAACCTACTGGGTAATGAACATATTTATCTGCATTTGGATCGCAAGTATCTGAATCGTCATCGTCAATGGTTACAATTGGTTCAGTCTCCGACGATGCTCTGTAAATTTGATTTTACGCTTATTCTTCTAATCACATCGTTTGCTCTTAAATAAGACAATCAAAAATCGATCTATGATATAATCAACATTAAAATAATCCAGTGTATCTGCTTGAATAACTCTCTCAAAATAAGAATAAATATTACTCCATCACATATTTCAAACGATGAAATGACAATAAAATACGAAAACTCTCAATATAAATTCATCAGAATCATCGACCACTAACAATAATTTTCTTTTTCTTTCATTTGATATGTCCTCTGCTGCACTCTCCGGATTTCCTTTAACCTCCTTATTCACACCACCACCTTCATCTCCGACTTTGTCCATTCCCAACTGAACCGTTTTAACGAAATCACGAAACTTACGTCTGCTATATTCACTGAAAATCAACCAATGAATCAATGATGAACCGAATGAAGAAATGCAATCTTCTTCCTGAACCGATTATCAAGCAATGACTTTCATAACCAAAAATACAATTTCCTGCATGCTTTACGCATATAAAATGTTTCAAATCAGTGATATTTTGTAAAAACAATGTATTTATTAAAACAAATAATATTTTGTAAAAAATATCACGTCGTTAATTAAAATTAAGAAACGCACGGATATTTTTGTTGTAAATCAAACGCTAATTCCTCTGCATCCAAATACTCGCCATCCATCATCAACTGAAAACTGGTATCCATTACTATCATTCAATGATATAAGTAA